TGGTGCTGGGAGGGATGGTTTAGTGATGATGCTCCTTGTTTGTTGTGGGGGTGTCTATTTTTGTCAAAATTAGGTTGACGGTTGGACAAGATGATCTTGAAGGTCCCTTCCAACCTAGAAGATCCTGTGATTCTGTGTTTTGCCCTTGAAACACCACCTCGTGCGCAGCGCAAAGAACACGGCGCTTCTTTTTACCTCCATCAAAACCATCCCCTTGTTTTTCCTCTTGGGTTGTGTTCTGTGCTCCATACAGGATTTAAATCCCCCAGGATGCAGGGGGGGGTGTCCCTGCTTCCTCGAGGCCCGTGGAGGCAGAACAGGAGTCGGGATCCATCCCAAACCATTCCGTGATCCCTTCTGAAAAGCAAAATAAAACCCCAACTTTGTGTTTCCTGTTGGAGCTCGGCTGTTTCTTGTGTGGTCGCCGAAGCGGCCCCCAATGTTTATTGAATCGGGCATTTTCTCCCCAAAATCCACCAGGGATTGCGTGCCTGACTGACACTGGGAAGGGAATCCTCTGGGATGGGTGGGAATTCTGTCTGGGAGAACTGGCAGGGAGCTGTGGATTGTTTGGATGGCTTTTTGTGGAAAATTGCCCCCGTTTCGCGTGTCTCGTCAACAAACACCAAAAAAAGAGGAAAAAAAACCCCAAAAAACCAAATTAAACTGGAAATGAATCCAAAGCGCCTTTTGCTTTAGGAATAAATGCCCTGAAAGAGGAGGGAAATGCTGGTGACTCCTCGCTTGGCTTCGTCTTGCAGAAAGCAATAAAACCAAGTAAAAGGCTCCTGAAAGACCTAAAAAAATTATAAATCCCAGCCCTGTGTGGGTGAGTGAAACGCTGGGGGCAGGGGGGGCACCTTCACGTGTGTCCCCAAGGTCACCTCCCTTTTATACCTTACCTGGGGGACTTGGAGAGGAGCAGCCTGGTAAAAACCCAATTTTGTGTTTCCTGCTGGAGCTCGGCCGTTTCTTGTGTGGTCACCTCCGTTGCCGCCCCCAATATTTATTGAATCGGGCATTTTCTCCCCAAAATCCACCAGGGATTGCGTGCCTGACTGACACTGGGAAGGGAATCCTCTGGGATGGGTGGGAATTCTGTCTGGGAGAACTGGCAGGGAGCTGTGGATTGTTTGGATGGCTTTTTGTGGAAAATTGCCCCCGTTTCGCGTGTCTCGTCAACAAACACCAAAAAAAGAGGAAAAAAAACCCCAAAAAACCAAATTAAACTGGAAATGAATCCAAAGCGACTTTTGCTTCAGGAATAAATGCCCTGAAAGAGGAGGGAAATGCTGGTGACTCCTCGCTTGGCTTCGTCTTGCAGAAAGCAATAAAACCAAGTAAAAGGCTCCTGAAAGACCTAAAAAAATTATAAATCCCAGCCCTGTGTGGGTGAGTGAAACGCTGGGGGCAGGGGGGGCACCTTCACGTGTGTCCCCAAGGTCACCTCCCTTTTATACCTTACCTGGGGGACTTGGAGAGGAGCAGCCTGGTAAAAACCCAATTTTGTGTTTCCTGCTGGAGCTCGGCCGTTTCTTGTGTGGTCACCTCCGTTGCCGCCCCCAATATTTATTGAATCGGGCATTTTCTCCCCAAAATCCACCAGGGATTGCGTGCCTGACTGACATTGGGAAGGGAATCCTCTGGGATGGGTGGGAATTCTGTCTGGGAGAACTGGCAGGGAGCTGTGGATTGTTTGGATGGCTTTTTGTGGAAAATTGCCCCCGTTTCGCGTGTCTCGTCAACAAACACCAAAAAAAGAGGAAAAAAAACCCCAAAAAACCAAATTAAACTGGAAATGAATCCAAAGCGACTTTTGCTTCAGGAATAAATGCCCTGAAAGAGGAGGGAAATGCTGGTGACTCCTCGCTTGGCTTCGTCTTGCAGAAAGCAATAAAACCAACTAAAAGGCTCCTGAAAGACCTAAAAAAATTTATAAATACCAGCCCTGCGTGGGCGAGCGAAAAGCTGGGGGCAGGGGGGGCACCTTCATGTGTGTCCCCAAGGTCACCTCCCTTTTATCCCTTACCCCGGGGGACTTGGAGAGGAGCAGCCTGGTCTCCCTCACCACGGCGTGTGCGGCTCCTCAGAGAGGGATTTTGGGGTATTTTTTCTCGTTTTCTCTGTTAAAAGGCTCCTTTTTTAACAGCTCTTGCATCGGTGAGGAGTCCCCGTCGCCCGTTCTGCAGATCCCGCTGCGGAGCAAGGGGATTAAAGAGGCTGAGCGAGGAGGAGGAGTGCTGAGGAAGAGCTGAGTGAAGGCTTTTTCTCCACCTGCCTCTCAGAAACGCTCCTCAGCCCCGAAAAGCAGCTCAGAGCAAATTCCATGGGGCTTAAGGGAGACTGACCCCCCCCTGGCTACACCCTCCTTTGGTGGGTTGGGGTTGGAGAAGGTCCAACGGGGGTTGGAGAGAGCGAGAAGGTCTCCCCTCAGCCTCCTTTTCTCCAGGCTGAACCCCTCCAGCTCCCTCAGATGCTCCTCACAAGTTCTCCAGCCCCTTCTCCATGGGCTCCAGCCCCTTCCCCTTGATCTCCAGATCCTTCTCCTTGGGCTCCAGACCCCTCCTCAGCTCCGTGTCCCTTCTCTGGACCCACTCCACCCCCTCAATGGCTTTTTTTTTTGTGGTGAGGGCCCCAAAACTGACCCCAGCCCTCCAGGTGGGACCTCCCCAGTGCCCAGTCCAGGGGGACCATCACCTCCCAGGTGGCCACACTGTTCCTGACGCAGGCCAGGGTGCTGTTGGCCTTCTTGGCCACCTGGGCACACTGCTGGCTCACGTTCGACCAAAGTCCTGGCGATTCAAAGATTGAAAGAAGGAGAGGGCAAGGCTTGTTGTTAGAGCAAACACCTCTAGTTCTGGCATGAGGGTTAAAATAAAAATAAAAGGGATTTAATCTGGAGCTGGGGTTGTTCAGCCTGGAGAAGAGGAGGCTGAGGGGAGACCTCCTCGTGCTCTAGAGCTACCTGGGAGGAGGGACGTGGGGATTGGTCTTGTCTCCCAAGTCCCAGGAGATAGGACAAGGGGAAATGGCCTTAAGTTGCACCAGGGGAGGTTTAGATTGGATATTGGGAAACATTTCTTCACAGAAAGAGTTATTTGAGAATTGGAATAGGCTGCCCAGGGAAGGCGTTGAGGCATCGTCGCTGAAGGTGTTCAGAAGACGGGTTGACGTGCTCCTCCGGAATAGGGTTTAGTGATTTTTATTTCTTTTTAGTTATTTTTTTCAGAGTTAGGTTGATGGTTGGACTGGATGATCTCTAGGGTCCCTTCCAACCTAGATGATTCTATGTGATTGATTCTATGATTTGGGCTACAAACTGATTGCCACGAGGGCTGTGTTTTGGCCAGCTGGTGGGTCCTTAAAGCTGGGTGAGGGCTCAGACCTTCTGAATTACTTCTGAAAAGACTTGTCATTCCCCAAATCAACCTTCTGAACCCAAGTCAACCAGGGCTAACGCTTCAGGCTCTGCTTTCCTCAAACACTTCAGTATAACCAAGCTAATCCTGGTTTTATCCTGTGATTCACCCTTTGGGGTCTCCATCCTCCCTAAGATCCCTGTGGCACAAAGAGGAGGTTGGCCCTGGTGGGGTGTTTGTCTTCTCCTCTTGTTCCACCCTGCGGCGCGTGTCCCGGTCCTCCCACCCCATTTCCAGGGAGAGCTGCCAAAAAAAGTGAGTTCATGCCTTTTGGGATCACGTCTCCAGGCTGTTGTTTTGACCCGGGTACGGGATGTTCGGGCACAAAAGGCAGGTGGTTTCTTGCGGGGCGGGCGACGACGCGCCGCCCAGGTCACCTGCTTTGGTTTTTATCTCCAAGGGAAGGAATGTCAATAATCGGGGAGCACCTGAGGCGGGTTGAGCAAACCTGCTGAGCTTGTTGACAACCCTTCAGGGAGGAAAAGCACCTCGCTGCCCTGCTGCTCTGCACCTGGTCCCCGGCCCTCTGCCAAAAGCTTTTTCCCCCCAAGTTAGTTTTTTCCAATAATAGCTTTTCTGTAGGAATCTTTCTTTTTTAACTCAGTGGTTCTCCTGTTCTGCTTGTGTGGACATCACACACCTACAGCTTGCCTTGAAGCCCATAGTTTTCATACAAGACACAACTGAGCTCCATAGGGAGGGCCCTGCTCCCGTAGGTGGGGAAAACACTTAAGTTTATGTCTTTTTGGGTCTGGATGTGGGTGATGCTTGAGGAAAGTGGCTTCCCAGGCTCTTGTGTTATAGAATCATAGAGTCATAGACTTGCCCAGGCTGGAAGGGACCTCCAAAGGCCATCTAGTCCCACCCCCCCGCAGTCAGCAGGGACACCCCCAACTAGACCAGGTTGCCCAGGGCCTCATCAGGCCTCACTAGGCCTCACCTTGAATATCTCCAGGGAAGGGGCCTCAACCACCTCCCTGGGCAACCTGTCCCAGTGCTCCACCACCCTCCCAGTGAAGAACCCTCTCCTCATCTCCAGTCTAAATCCCCTCACACACTCTTGAACTTTATTGAGGTCCCTCAGCTCAGGGGTGGGACAGCAAGACCCTTCTGTCACCGGGTTGTCACTTTGGCCAGCTTTCCATAAACCAAATCTCTTCCCAAAACGTTCATTTCTAGCAGCGGGAGCTTTGCATTCTTCTTTTCCTGCCCTAATTAGACTTTATCCTGGAGGGAGTTCTTGCTGTGCAATCGCACAGCGCTCGATGGTGCCCAGAGTGTCGTAAAAACTTGGAAATCACCCTCATGGGCTGCAAAAATGTCCCATTTGAAGTGGTATTGTCCAAAAGCAGAGCGGGCTCTGTTGTTCCCTGAGAGCTGTGGTGAATAACACAAATATTTGAGGCTGAATTAGGCTGGTGGGACGAGGCTGAGGTGTGTGAGGCTCAATCTGAGCTGGGGTGGCTGAAGTGGAGGGAATAATGGAGCAGAAGTAGAGGTAGATGGAGCAGGAGGAGGTACTGGGTGAACCCTGCTCTTTGGGGAACAGCAGCTCAGGTGTGAAATGTCTCTCTTTTGCAGGGCAATCGGGAGGAAGCGGATAATCCCAACACCGGGATCGGCGCTTTCCGCTTCATGCTGGAATCCAACAAGGGCAAATCCATGCTGGAGTTCCAGGTAGGGCTCAGAATTTGATGCCACACTCCGAGGGGTGGTTGAATCCATCTCTCAGCTACATCTTACCTTTTTAAATACCTGCTTTATATTTATATATATCTGCTACATCTTTATATTTAGAGGAAAAGCGGCGTTTTCCCCTTAGAACATGGCTCGGGATTTGTGGCGCTTCCAGGTGCTGTTAAAGCAGTGAAATGTTTGGAATTAGGTCTCTTTCTAAATGCTCTTGTTTCTGTTTGAGGCCCCATCCCTGGAGGTGTTCAAAAGCCGGGTTGATGTGGTGCTGGGAGGGATGGTTTAGTGATGATGCTCCTTGTTAGTTGTGGGGGTGTCTATTTTTGTCAGTTGGGTTGACGGTTGGACAAGATGATCTTGAAGGTCCCTTCCAACCTAGAAGATTCTGGGATTCTGTGATTCTCTTTGATATTTACCCGGCTCAGTAGCGTGAAAGGGTCGTTTATTCTTCTGATACGGTGTTTTTAGGGACATGGCATTTAGGGAACCGCTGCTGGAGGTGCAGACACTACCCTCGTGGCGTGAACCCAGCCCTTTTCATTTGTGGTTTTTATCCTCTCCCAGTAAAAGGGGAGAGATCTCCCTTCCCTTGGGTGAAGATCTTTGATTATGGAATTAGGAGCCTTGATGACTCTCATTAGGTGCCCTCAGCCCGCAGCGTTAGTTGAAATATCCTCAATTCTCTCTCTCCTTCCAACAAAACATCTGCAAAATGAAAAGCAGAAGCTGCTACAGCACTTAACGGGCTGCGGGTAGCGGAGCAGAAGGAGTCTGTAGGACTGAGATTCATCTGGGCTTTATTCCAGCCTTTTTGGGGAAAAAACTGCTCCGACGAGCAGAGCTGAGCCAGGTAAAGCAGAGTGTTCAGAACGTTCTCAATTCCACCTGGGATTTCAGCCCGTTCCTCGTCCCCGGCACGTCCGGAGACGTTACGCCAGAGCTTTGAGACTCCTCAACCCTTTTCCTTTCAACTCAGGGCTCCAAAAAAGTAACTCAAAACGATTCTCCTGCCGCCGAGTTGGACTCGTAACCGCACCGACTGGAATTGGGATTTTAATTTTTTTTAGAAGAGGAGAAACGAGACGGTAACTCGGCTCCGCAGGGTTTGGATGCCTCTCAAATTCGGTGCCTTAATTCCCCCGGTGTATTTGGGGTTCTTTGCTGCAGGGAAACTTTTCCCCCAGCTGATTTCCTTGCCTGGCTCCTTTCCCTTGAATGGAAAGAACTCGGTAGGAGGAAGAGAGAGGAGTGTTTATGTTCGTGGTGCTGTTTACACAACGTGACTCTCTGTTGTGTATGTTCTTGGGGCTGTGTTTGTCTTTGGGAAGCCGGAGATGTTTACGAAGGGATATTTGGGTGGCCTTGAGGAGAGAGAGCTGTTTGCTTGGAAAACGTGGGATTGTCACCCGCTTGGGCTGGTGAGGTGACGTGGAATCTGCCAGATGACAGAGTCTCTCCCTCTCTCCTCCTCTCTCTCTCTCTCTCTCTCTCTCAGAATCCTGAAATCCCCAGGGCAGAGAGAAGCCTCGCTGTGCTTTGTCTCCTCCATAATCCACTCATCTTCCCCAGGGGATTTTTGTCTGGGGGGGGGGGGGG